CTCTCATCCCATAGCCTCCTCTCCCAGAGACCCCAGATTACTCTTCCAATGAAAAAGCCTGGTTTGTCAAAAGAAAAAAGAAAGACCTAGAAATTATATCAAGGGAAGATGGTAAAAATTCTCTGATGAAAGACTGGCCATCCCTAAAATGATGGGCCACAGGTTTGTAAAACAATTCTATCAGGGATCTCACATAGGAAAACAGCACTAGAGACGTTGCTAGGGCATCATTTCTATGTGCCATAGCTCACTGCCATCACCTGAGCTATATGTGAGGAATGCTTAATTTAAGCTCAAAATAACCCAAGACAGGGGCCCACTCAGCCCCCAGGTATTCAAGAAATGGGTACTGTCCTTTGTTAAACTTGGTTGTAGACATCACTAAACTGCCTCGGGTGAGATGCTATCAATATATGTTGGTGCTCATCTGTACCTTCTCAGGATAGGTGAGGCTTTTTACCCATCCAAATAGGAAAGACACAAGAGGTGATCAAGGTCCTATTAAGACATCATCCCATGATTTAGACTGCCTCTGATGTTGGGGGTCTGATAATAGACTGGCATTCATAGCTGAAATAGTCCAGAGACTCGGATGTTAAAAATAAAATGGAAACTACATAACACACTACCAGCCACAGAGCTAGAAAAAAAAATAGAGCACATAAATCAGACCTTCAAACAACTGTTAAAAAATTTTTCCAAAAAATCCACTTGAGATGGTATTGAGTCTGGCCATGGTCCTCCTCTGAGTCAGGTGTACCCTCACCAAACAAATGGTATTCCTGGGCCAGGGATTTAGCTCAGTGGTTCTGCCACCTGCCTTGCAAGCACAAGGACCTGAGTTCGAGCCCCAGTACAAAAAATAAATACATGGGGTCAGGGATTTAGCTCAATGGTTCTGGGGTCTGCTTGCAACCACAAGGTCTGGAGTTCAATCCCCAGTACCAAAAAAAAAAAAAAATACATGTCACTCTCACAGTGACAGGTAAAGAAGCAAACAGGGTATTCCTCATAAGGGATCTTGTTTGGCCAGCCATCCTTAATCATAAGTCAAATTAAGGGTGATCTCTGTGAGCTAGGAAAATTGACTTTGAGGAGGCAAATACATGCTTTGAAATTAGCTCTACAAGATACCCATATAGCTAAGTAGAAGAAAAAATGCTCATAAGCTTAACAGACCTAGTACATCCAGAAAACCTGGGGACTTCATTTGGGTCAAGAAATAGAATCCCACTACGCTAGGAACCATATGGGATGGGCCCCATATTGTTACCTTGTCCACCCCAACTGCTGTTAAAATTGCAAGAACTGTGCCTTAGATCCACCACAGTCGACTGAAGCCAGTGGCCCAAGACAAGTGGACCCGCCAGAAGGATCCAGACAACCTGAACCAGTGGATCCTGGGATGAGATCAGGCCACCTCCAGAAAAGACAGCCCTGCCCTAGTCACCCCAGAAGCTGACTAGTCTACACATGGCTGAAGCCTGAGGAAATGGCAGCCAAATAAAAACAAAAGTTTGTGTCATCTTGTTCTCACAAGATTCACATTCTCTGTCTTCTTTCAAGGCTAAGTTACAAAACTGTCTGCTCTTGTCCTGCTTCTGTAAACTCGCTTGCTACATCATTAGAAAGAACAACTCCTTCAACCAAATGTATAAAACTAGAGCCTTTCCTTTGTTCTGGGCTCAGCCTTTAGACATTAGTCTGCCAAGTGGTGTACACCTAAAAACCTACAATAAATCCTATATGACTCATTTTCTCTCCTGTCTCTTAAAATCCCACAACAGAAAGACTAGGTAAGACCAACAGATGGCCCAGCTCCCTTGTCCCTAAGGAGTTAATGGGTCCCCAATATGGAGACAAAGGCTTTCTTCTGTGGTAAATGATGCTAGCATCACCCTAAGGTTCAGACAGAGATGTCTATTCAGACTATGTGAAGTCTCAAAAAGGACACCTTGTGGACTCCAGGTCTTTTCCTTCTCCATGGGACAACCCTTGAAGAGGTCATACTTAGCTGTCTCCTCTTTCTAGGCCCCAAGTCATTCCAATGAGAAACCTCTTAGACTTCATCACCACAGAGATTCCACCAATCTCACCTCTAGGCTATATCCTTGATGAATAAGACAGATTTTATCTTGATAATTTAGAACAAGAACAGCTTATCTACTATTGCAATATAGTCTGGGTTCAGTAAAAACCGAGAGGTGGAAAAAGATGAGTATGAGATGGTGCAATTTAAATTATAAGACTATTCTCCAGTTACAGTGTTTGTGCTTAGAATATAAAAGGTGAAGAGAAATGTTTTATGTTTGGGTCTTTGTGACTCTCATTCAAAGGAAATGCTCAAGAACCATGGTACTTAGTGCAGGCCTTGAGGAGGAACCCTCCTCTTGGGGGACCCTGTTCTGAAACCCCTACTTTTCTTTGAGGGGCATCTTGGTCATGCTGATCTATTTAGAGAGGACAACCACACTAGGAGGTCTCCTTGACCTCCCCCTAATAATCTTTAGATGAATAAATCAGGTCCATCCCCTCCAAGTGACCAGGGGACTGCGTTAGAGCCTAGTGCCCCAGAGGAATGCAACATTCCTCAGTCCCCTTGGCAGCCTCCTCACCACTCTTAAGTCTCACTGGGTACACACAGATAGCTTTAAGCCCTGCAGGTTGAACCTGAAGAGGTGCTTCCTATTACTCTAGTTTATAACTTGTCCTGTCCATAAGAGAAGTCCCAGGGATAGAAAAAAGAAGATAGATACTCAAGTGCAGGTTCCTTTTTCAGTTGCAAATGTCCAACAGTGCAAGGAACAATTAGGCCAACTATCAGAAAACCCTAGTAAGTTTGCAGATGGGTTCCAAACTTTGACCCTTGCTTTTGACTCATTATAGCAAGATGTATATTTCATCTTGGCTCCTTGCTGTACCTCAGAAGACAGAGAGAGAATCCTACAGAGGCTAGGAACTATGTCGATGCTTTAAAAAGGAAAGGAAACCTCCCTGGAAAAGATATTCTCCCTTTAACAGAGTCAAACTGGGACCATAATACTCAGCATGGACTAGAAATGATGTCTAGTATGCTAGCTGCCCTTATCATGGGGATGAAAAGATATATTTAAAAGTCTGTTAATTATGATAAAGTGAGTGGGCTCTTACAGGGCATGGAGGAAAATCCAGCTTTGTTTCATAACTAATTACCAGGGGCCTTCTGCAACTATACAAATATAGATCCATCATTCAGGGAGGAAGAAGCACTAGTAGCTCCTACTCAGGCATTGATACTAGGAAAAGACAGAAGGTCAAACATATATATAGACTTCAGATATGCCTGTCTCGTGCTTCATGCCCATGCAGCAATATGGAAGGAAAGAGGCTTACTGATAATTAAATAACCATCTATAAACCACAGATAGGAAATTCTAGAGGCAGTTCACCTTCTCACAGATCACAGTCATGCACTGTAAAGGATGCCAGATTTGATATCTTATTTTCCTGCTAAGTGCACATTGTACATTATAGTAGGAAGTACCTGAAAAAACAGGAAGAGAAGAGAGGTGACATGAATGGGCTGCCACATAGGAAAGGAAAGCTAAGCACATGTGCTGTCAGTGTGAGATGTGTGCATGGAACATGCATTTGTCATGTGTGGGGACTGCCTTCAGTGTGACAATTGAAGCAAAGATTATTTTTGTTGTAGAGATCTATTGGTATTTTCATTGTAGTATATATAGGAATTTATTTCTGTTATATTTTAGGTTTTGTAAGTACACAGCTGATACGAAATTGTTGATGTTTATTCTAACTGCACAATACATATTAAGAATTTTATACTTTATTTTATTGATATTTTATGTTCCTGTTAACTACATATTGTATACTATATTAAGAATCTGCTGACAAAACAGCAAGACCAGTGAAATGTAAAGTATGTCCTACAAAAAGGCCAAGAAGAAAAAAAGGCCAAGAAAGAAAAACACGTGCTGTCAGTGTAAGCCATATGTGAGTGTGGAACATGTTGTCATGTATGAAGACTACATTAGATGTAATAATTGAGGTAAAGATTTTTTTTTGTAGAATGCTGTTGATATTTTCATTGTAGTTCATATACGAATTTATTTCTGTTGTTCTCTTTAGACTTTGTATACTGAAAAGCAGTCAGTGTTGAAAATTTTGATATTTTTTATGAACTATATTAAAAATTCAATACTTTTTTTTTTGATATCTTTCC